ATGTTTATATTGCAAATCAATGACCACAAAAGTTTAGGTAACGTCCTTCACCTCACAGAGGTATAGATTTGTTTTCCGTGTGATGAGATCTTTTAAGATTTACTCTCTTGACAACTTTCAAATATAGAGACTGTATCGGTAATAATAGTCACCATGCTGTTACATCCTCAGGACTTTTTTATCTTACAGCTGTAAGTTGTACCTTTCGACCACCTTCATCCATTTTGCTGTCTTCCTGCCCCCCGCCTCACACCCACCAACCTGCTCTCTGTTCCTGTGAGTTAGGTTTTTTAGATTCCACATATAAGTAAGATCATTCAGTATCTGTCTTTGTCTAGCTGATCTCATTCAGCATAATGCCTTCAAGTTTCATCCATGTTGTCACAAATGGCTTCCCTTTTTACAGCTGAATAATATTCCATTTTACATAGACCGGGGGTGCGAAAACAATGTATACATGTTTTAAGGAAAAAGCTGTATTCAAATTGTAATAATATATGCTGATAACAAAAGATGAATACAAGTCATGTGTGTACATTTTTTTGTCACCCCGGTGTATATGTGTGTGTACCACGTTTGCTTTATCCAGTCATCCATCAGTGGACATGCCATGGCGGTGGTTCCCGTGTCTTGGCTATTGTGAATTATGCTGGAATGAACATGGGGCTGCGGATATCTTTTTGAGATAGAGATTTAATTTCCTTCAGATATATACCTAGAAGTGCAGTTGCTGGATCACATGGTAGTTTTGTTTTTAGCTTTTTGAGGAACCTATACGTTTTCCTGGTGGCTGCTCCAATTTACACTCCCACCAACAGCACAAGGGTTCCCTTTCTCCACATCTTCCCAACACTTTTTATCTCTTGTCTTTTTGATGACAGCCCTTGTAACGTGTGAGGTGATGTCTTATGGTGGTTTTGATTTGCATTTCCCTGATGATCAGTGATGCTGAGCATTTTCATGTACCTGTTGGCCATCTGTATGTCTTCTTTGGAAAAATGTCTGTTCAGGTCCTCTGCCCATTTTTTAAATTGGCTTGTTTTTCTGATATTAAAGTGTGTAAGTTCTTTATAGATTTTGGATATTCACCCCCTATTGGATGTGTTATTTGCAAATACCTTTTCCCATTCAGTAGGTTCCCTTTTCATTTTGTTGATGGTTTCTTTGACTGTGAGAAAGTTTTAATTTGATATAATCCCATTTGTTTATTTTTGCTTTTGTTCTTTCCTAAGGAGACTGATCCAAAAAAATATTGCTAAGACTGATGTCAGAGAGCTTACTGCCTATGTTTTCTTCCAGGAATTTTATGGTTTCAGTTCTTATGTTCCAGTCTTTAATCCATTTTGGATTTACTTTTGTAAATGGTATAAGATAGGGGTCCAGCTTCATTCTTTTGCATGTAGCTATCCAGTTTTTCCAACACCGTTTATTGAGAAGACTGTCTTTCCCCATGGTATATTCTTACCTCCTTTGTCATAGATTAGTTGACCATATGCATGGGTTTATTTCTAGTCTCTCTACTCTGTGTCATTGATCTCTGTCTGTTTTCATGCCAGCACCATACTATTTTGATTAGTATAGCTTTGTAGTATAGTTTGTAATCAGGAAGCATATTATCTCCAGCTTTGTTTTTTTCTCAAGATTGCTTTGGCTATTTGGGGTCTTTTATGGTTCCATACAAATTTTAGGATTCTTTGTTCTAGCTTATGAAAACTGCCATTGGCATTTTGATGGATATTGCTTAAATCTGTAGATTGCTTTGGGTAGTGTGGACATTTGAACAATATTAATTCTTCTAATCTATGAGCACAGTATATTTTTTCATTCATTTGTGTTGTCTTCAATTTCCTTCACCAGTGTCTTAAAGTTTTCAGAGTTACAGGCCTCTAACCTTCATGGTTAAATTTATTCCTACATATTTTATTCTTTTTGATGCAATTGTACATGGAATTTTTTGCTTAATCCTTCTTTCTGATTGTTATTCATGTATAGGAACAAAACTGATTTCTGTATATTACCCTGTAACTTGACTGAATTCATTTATTAGTTCTCACAGGTTTTTGGTGTCATCTTTAAGGATTTTTTCTTTTTTCTTTTTCTTTTTTTTTTTTTTTGTATGTGCCATCTGCAAATAGTGACAATTTTATTTCTTATTTTTCAATTTAGATGTCTTTCATTTATTTTTCTTGCTAAATTGGTGTGGCTAGGACTTCCAATACTGTGTTGATTGAAAGTAACAAGATTGGGGAACTTTGTCTTGTTCCTGATCTTAGAGGAAAAGCTTTCAGCTTTTCACTGTTGAACATGATGTTAGCTGTGAGCTTGTCATGCATGGCCTTTATTATGTTGAGGTACAGTCCTTCTAAGCCCACTTTGTTTTTATTATAAATGTATGTTGAATTCTGTCAAATGCTTTTTCTGCATCAATAGAGATGATAAAATGACTTTTATCCTACATTTTGTTAATGTGATGTATCACATTCGGTGATTTGTGGATGTTGAACTATTCTTTCATCCTTTGAATAAATCCCACTTGATCATGGTGTATGATCCTTTTAATGTATTGTTGAATACTGTTTGCTAATATTTTGCTGAGAATGTTTTCATTTATGTTCATCAGGAATATTGGCCTATAATTTTTTTTTTCTTGTAGTATTCTTCTCTGGTTTTGGTATCAGAATAATGCTGGCCGTGTAAAATGAGTTTGACAGTGATGTCTTCTCTTCTATTTTTGGAAGAGTTTAAGGAGGATTGATATTATTTCTTTTTAAATGTTTGGTAGAATTCAATGAAACCATCTTGTCCTGGGCTTTTTTTCTTTGTTGGGAGGTTCTTGATTCAATCACATTACTAGTAATTTGCTGAGACTTTCTTTTTCTTCATGAGTCAAGCTTGGTAGGTTGTATGTTTCTAGGAATCTTTTTAGGTTGTCCAATTTGTTGGTGTATTATTGTGCAGAGTAGTCTCTTATGATCCTTTGTATTTCTGTGGTATCAGTCAACGTCTCTTCATTTATTTCTAATTGTATTGATTTGAGTCCTCTTTTCTTGGTGAGTAGCTAATGGTTTGTCTCTTTTGGTTATCTTTTCAAAAAGCAGCTCTTAATTTCACTGATCTTTACTACTGTCTCTTTAATCTCTGTTTCATTTATTATCACTCTGATCTTTGTTATTTTCTTTCTTGTACTAACTTTGGACTTAATTTGTTCTTTTCTAGTTCCCTGAGGTCCAAAGTTGGGTTATTTTTGTGAGCTTTTTTTTTTTTTTCCTTTTTGTAGGCATTTATTGCTATAAATTTTCTTCTTAGAACTGCTTTGGCTGTTCTGCTATGTCATATTTCCATTTTCATTGGTCTCAAGATATTTTTTTATTTGTCTTTTGATTTCTTTAACTCAAGACATTTATGTTATTCATAGAAGTCTATTTTATATGCTTATTCAGCAATAGATAGTGTATTTTAACATGCTTGATGATTTGTTATTTAACTCCAGGAAGTTAGAAGTTGGAAGGGAACACCTTAAAACTGGAACACTGGCAGAATCAAGGATTGACAACTGACAGCCAGGGAGGCAGGGTTCAAAACAGATGGAAGAACTTAAATCAATAGCATTCTATACCATTTTGTAGAAGCACAAGCAGACCTCTGCAGAACTTAACAGTTTCTTTGTACTTAATTGATACCCATGATAATGCTTTTGAGTCATTCAATTAGGTTAAATTATTAACATTAGGTGAAATGTTAAATTAGGTTATTTATACTCCATTTAAAAATATATAATAAATTTTCATAAGTACCCTTTATATTCATAATAACTACCACTCTGACAGTGTTCTCAGTCATCCTAATCCTTTTACTTATATTATCTAATTTATCCTTAAAATAATCCTGGGAAGTAGTTTGATTATATCCATTTTAAACATGAGAAAATTATAACTCAGAGAGTTTAAGTAAGCAAAACAAAGTTGTATAGCTAATCAGGATTTTGAACCTATATCTGAATATCCCTAAAAGTCCCTGCTTTTATCCACTGCAGAGTGAATTGTCCATACATCTAGATTATTTTGAGTTTCACAGCAACTACTTTATACTTTGTCAGGTACTACTGTCCCCATTTGAGGCCCGGAAAAGTTAAGTACCTCAGATAATGTAACTACTAAGAAGCATTACTGGGCTTTTGTTTTTGTTGGTGTTATTATTTTTTCTTTCCTTGCTTAGAAAATGTGCTAATGACAAACATTTCCAATGCTGGATAAATATGGTGTTGCTGAAATAATTTTAGGCTTATTTAACTTTCTTCTTTAATTTTTGTTTAGAGCATAGATTCTAGCAGCCAAGTTTTTCCCATAGGGTTCTCGCAAAGTTAAATAAATTATGAGCTATGAAATGTTTTGAGATGCTCTGTTGAAACACAGTAATAATAAAGCTAATGATTATGGACCACTTGTTCTTGCCAGGCACTGTCTCAGCACTCTGTTGGCATTAACTAATTTAATCCTTACAATTGCTCTATGAGAAATATTTTTTCCCCAGCTGTGGTTTACAATGAGGAGAGTGAAGTACGGAGAGGTAAAGAATGGACCAATGTTACTCCATTCTATGTGGCAGTGGGATTAAAATCCAGCCGTCCAGTAGCTCTTGAGTCCAAATACCTGTGTGTTACGCTATATACTGCCTTTCCACAAAATAATTTGAAGCATATGTTTTCAGACTTATAGTATAGTTTATAGACTATGACTCCCTTTCCCTCTATATTGTGTTTTAATTTTTACTTTGAAAATAAGGACTGGTGTCACAAAGGACTGAAGAAAAATACATGCAGCACTGAATCAATGATTTATTTTGATGGTTACTGGAATTAAGTGACAGGCTGTAATTTCGTATTTATCCACAAGATGGTGAAATTTTCATTAGTTTTTAATTTCTTGAAACCCATATAAACCATTAATTTATAATCTGCATTTGACACCATTTATTGTAAGCACTTTAATTTCTTTTTACAGCCCATCTGCTGGCAAGGCCAAGATTAGAACAGCTCACAGGAGAATCATGATTTTGAATCACCCAGATAAAGGTGGGTAAAATTCTGATTTTTCATAATGTGTGGATCAGAATCGGCTCTGGATTCCTTTCGCTTTACTTAAACTCATTATAAACGATTTATAGTTGAAATGGAAGTTTATATGCCACATGTATTGTGATTTTTCTTACAATAAATAAGGCTTTCGATTCGAATTCAGGGACCCATGGAAGTGGTGGATTTATATTTTCAGCTTTCAAGAACTTAGTTATGATTTTTATATATGAGTACCTCACCCCTGTTTGAGGCCCTTAGCATTGGAATGAGAAAGAGAATACATGAGTTGTGGACTCTGATTACATAAACTGATTTGAGCATCATGAATTTTATTTGTTTAACCTTAAATATAAAAGCACAAGATTTAGAGATTATCTTCCAAATCTCTGAATGTAATATGTCATAGATGGTTCTGAGTGTCTTAATTTTATTGTGGAAGGCTCTGAGGCTGGGCCATTTATTTTTAACTGGCTAGGTTTTTAATGTAAATTTATCTTACAGAAAGACAATTATTATAACTTTAACTACACTACAGCTGCTTGAGAGAGAAAGCCCATATGCTCATTACTGTTTCTGCTCTAAAATAACAGATGGTAGAAGTTGCACTGTATTTGAGAAGTCAAGGTGGGGGTGACGGGGAGGAGAATGAAGAGTTTCTCAGATTCTTTATTTAGAGACTTTCGGTTTTATAATTATTTTGAAAAAAAAATAAAAACAAATTTTGAATTCCTACCCATCTTAACTGACACCAAAATAAGGTTTTTTTCTTTTTCTCCCCAGCTTTCTCTCTTAATTACTTACTATAAAAATTCTTTTTACCAAACATTATCCTTTTTGGTTTTTGTACTTGCTGTTCTTTAGTGAGAATAAACAAGGGAATAAACTTTGAAATGAGGTTTTGCTTAAAATTTCTAAACAGCTTCAACAGTTACTGAAAGATCCACTCAACTAATTTACTTTGCATTGTGGGCTTTCAGAGTAATTGCCTCAGAAGGAAATGTGTTTAAGTGCATCTGTGAAGCCGTCTGGGTCCTAAGCACCCTCTGCCCCTCCAGGTCTGGTGCATGCCCTTCTCTTACTGGTTGCAGGAGGATCAAGCACTCATGTTTTTCACATGATTGATGGTTTATTGATTGTGCCTACTGGCAAGGAAGCAAGGTCTAAAACGCACCTAAGAGGATATGTATTTGTAGATATCATCAGTAAAAAAAGAAAACGTTTCTATATCTTATGAGCCAGTAGTGTTTAAAGAAATAATCAATAGCTTGATTTATCCTGAGGTTGTGTGATTATCATTGGTGGAGTGTTGACTGTCTATACTATGTTTCCTAATGTCCTTCTGTCTGTCCCTGTGCAGGTGTCAGGCTGTCAGGGGTAGACCTGGAAGCAGCAAGAAGCCAGCATTTTTCTCTGGCTTCTGCGTTCTAGCTAGCACTGCCCTTGCCCACGCTGCTTAACCTCTCCAAGTGTCAACTTCATTATCTACAAAGTGAAGGGATTCTTTCTAAAGCCCTTTTTGATTATATGATATCGTGTAATATCTTTATATGCCTATCTAATGAATGAAGAAACTGTAGCCTATATTTCTATTCAGATCACATTTTTAATTTAATAAAGATGCTTTTAATGCCTTTGGATTATTGTTCCCTTTAAGAATGTTGACAATTGTGGACATTTTGCCCACATCATTGCTCATTCATCCCAAATTTTGAAATAATTGGGCTGTTGGAAAAGTCATGACATATTTTTCCTATGTTTTTTTGTCGCAAAAATGCGTCATGACTTTTCCGACAACCCAATATTTGGCTTTTCAGAGAGACTTCCTAAAACCCATTCGTATACTCGTAGCTGAGAAATGCTCTAGTGAAAGCCTGGTGAATGAAAGAATATTAGAACTACAGCAGGAATCCGTGTAGGATGGGGTTGGTAGATGACAACTCATAAGTCTGAAAATTTTCTCTTGAAAAGGAAGGTTGTTTTGTTTTGTTTTTTTTTTAATGGGAAGATTTTAAATGGAAATGTCTGCGTGTCCTTGGAGAGAGAAAGCTGGGAGTGTTTGAGAAAGTTGAGAATGGCGAAATCTTTTATTTTATTATTAATTTTTTTAATTTTTAAGTTTTCAATTACAGTTGACATTCAGTGTTATATTACTTTCAGGTGTACTGCATAGTGGTTAGACATTTATATAACTTACAAAGTGGTCCCTGGATGAGTCTAGTACCCTCCTGGCACCATTTATAGGTATTGCAGTATTACTGACTATATTCCCTGTGCTGTACTTTTCATCCCCATGACTATTTTTAACTGCCAATTTGTACTTTTTAATCGCTTCACTTCTTTCATCCAGCCTCCCAAACCCCCTCCCATCTGGCAGCCATCAGTTTGTTCTCTGTGTCTATGAGGCTGTTTCTGTTATTTTGTTGTTGTTGTTCATTTATTTTGTTTTTTAGATTCCACATATGTGGAAATCATATGGTGTTTGTCTTTCTCTGTTTGACTTGCTGCACTTAGCATAATATCCTCTAGGTCCATGAGAACGGGTACCTCTTAATTTTGAGCCCTCTGTATAATTCTTCGCCATGTTTGCTGTGGCCAGGTCAGCACTGTTATAGGTGGTAGCAAAAACTTAAATCCTCTGCCCAATGCTTCTGAAATTCACAAATGTTCCTCCACCCCCAGCCATCACCACCCCCGAGGGACTTTTCTGTTGGTTTTGCTACCTGTTGGTAAAGAACTTCAGAGGTGTGATCAACTATAATTTGTTACACGTCTCATTATCAACTTGTGCAAAGAAAGTAACACCAGAAAATTAAGTGTGAGAGATGGTTGAAATAAATTTTTTTGTAACGAGTTTTAAATGAACATTCAAATGTGCTTTGGTAAAAAGGAAAATTGGCTATTTCGATTTAGTGAGATAAAAGGTTAATGCAATAAGAAATCTCAGGTCATTGATCTAATGTTTTTAGACTAATATCTTTCAGATTATGCTTTTTTTAATTGCTGAAGTAAGAGGTTAATTGTTATGAAATTAGTAGTTTGATATTAATGCCCAGTAACTATAGAAAGGAGGATAGACTAGATATATTTGAAAACCTGTGGAACCTCAGCGATCTTTCACAGGCTATCTAATCCACTCAAAGTGTAGCTCACCTGTCCACGCCAGGACGCACTTTGTTACCTATGTGCCCAAGTTAAAAACAGAAATCAAAAGTAAACCTTTTGCCATGACGCCCAAATGTGTGATGCTTTTGTATTTTGTAAAAGTATTGGTCCATCATAGACTGGAATTTTTTTATAAAGTGCTTGTTCACCATATTTTGAGAGACACTGATCTAAATCAGTGTTTCCTCCTAAATCAAGACTGTTTCTGCGCTATCCTGGGAAAAATGGCCTGTTAGCTCTCCTTAAAGATTTTCAGAGTTGGAAAGCTTCCTATTTTGCAAGGCAAGCCCCCTGGTAGGCAGCTGTAACTAGTAGAAACTTCTTCCCTACTTTCAGCTAGAAGCTGCCCGTCTGTAGCAGCAGAGATTCTCAATCGTCCTCCATTTATCTTCCCTTTCAATAAACAAATAGTCTCACTCTTCTATAATAGTATTTAAATCAAAATTAGATTAAATATTGGGATTAAAAACAAATCAAAGTAACTATACTGCTGAATGGATTTCCCCTGAATACTCTCATTGTAAAAGAAGCTAAATTTGACATGAGACCTGGTAACAATATATTATAATTTATTACAATGTATTTTAAAGTATCGATTGTAAACATTTGGAAAAGAAAGATAGGATCACCAAGAGTCAATATGGATTAACTAAGAAAAAGTGATGCCTAATTAGCTGTTTCTTCCCTGGATAGATGTACTAGCCTGTTTGTTTCAGAGGGTTTATCTTTCCCTTCATTTCAACAGTTTAATTAGACTTGAGGCTTTGTATTTGAGTTCTTTTTTATTTTTTGTAAAGAGATTATTTTGTTTCATCACATTAATTTTCCTTAATAAGTGATGAGATCTTTAAAAGTAAAGAACATGGCTGATTCAAATTTATAACCTGTATGGCTGACATTTAATGAACTCCAAATTTTTGTTTTCATTAGTGACTGGATAAGCAAATGGATGAAAAGAAGGCATATAAGTAAAATTTATGGGTAAAGTACAATATGGCCTTAGGGATAGAAAAGACAGTCTGGGGAATATAATCATTAATGTTTAAATATTTTTTAGGGGGCCAAATGGACTCATGTCTTGTTAGGGAGACCACTTCATAGTTGTTTGTAGAGGCCTGACCACTGCACTGTATTTCTGAAGCTGATGTTGAATAATATTGTATGTCAACTATAATTATATATACATATAGTCACGGGATGTGGAGTAGAGTGTGGGAATGGAGTCCATTTGATTGTAGTAGATAAGCATGATATTGGGGGTGGGGGGCAGTGGATGGGGGGAGGGGTTGCTTCTGTGTGAAGGGTGAAAAGGATAACTATTGCATTGTTCTGTACACCTGAAACTAACAATAAAAAAAAAAAAAGAATTTGGAGTGATAGCTAATACATACTATCAAAAATTTAAAAGAATTATTGGATTGATATGAAATGACCTGAAATTATTCTTTCATTCATTCAGAATTATTTATTCAAATTCTACAATATGCCAGACATTGTGCTAAATCTTGGAACTTTAACTGTAAAACAAGATAACTAGATCCTTGTCCTCATTGAGCATACATTCTAAGAGGGGACAGACAAAAAACAAACCTGTTTCAAGCTGCAGTCAGTGCAATGAAACGAACAGTGGACTGAGATACACAATGCGGGAAGAGGCAACTTCCCATAGTGTGATTGGGCAAGGCTTCTCTGAGAAATCCTAGAGGACAAGTAGAAGCTACTGTGTTGTGTTGTAGTGCTTGGAAACTCGAGGAACTAGCATGTGCAAAGGCTCTAAGGGAGGAAAGAGTTTAGTGTGCTTACAGACTGGAAAGAAAGAGAGCCAGTGTGGTAGG